CACTTACCAACAACAATGGCTAGTGATTGTGAACATTTCTTCATCTGCTTGTTGGCTGCCTGGACCCCCATGATCTCTTATTGTAATGTTTATACCAAGTTGTTTTTCAAGTAGTCTTTCACAGGCATCATATTATCTTTTACTGAAATAATGTGGCTAGGTTGGCACTAATTGGGCTTAGGTTTGTGTTGCTTTTTACATCATGATGATGGATTTCATTGATTTGTCCACACTAGCATTTTAAGTCTCCTCATTAGTGAATTTTGCCAGTTTGCACATTATTAAAAGAAAACCTTCCTCTACTTGTATGAGTGTTAGTTAAAAAATACTGCTGGCAAATCTGTTACATTTGAGTGTGCAAAAGGAAACTAACTTTTAAATGTTTAAAACTTTCATTTCTTGCTTATAAGCATATTTTATTGAAATTTATGAAAAATAATGGAAGTAAGATTTCTTTAGTACCTACTGGGTATGTTATTGTTTTGTGTTATTGAGTCAATTTGTACTCCAAGTGATCCTACAGTGAGTAGTCCTGCCCTGCAAGGCAGATCACCAGGTCTCTTCTGCTGCGGATCTACTGGTGGGTTCAAACCACTGATCTTTCAGTTAGCAGATGAGTGATTGACCATTGCACCAGCAGGACCTAACACTGTGCTAAACATTTTTGTATGTTAATATAATTTAGTAAGAGCCAGGCTTTGGCACCAGAAATTCCTGTATGCAAGTTCTAGTCCTCCAGGTCACATGTTGTTTGCTCTTGGGGAAATCTCATCTGTAAAAAGGTATGATAATTTGTTATTTGAAGTATGATTTTGTTACCTCCTTCTCCAGCAAAAGTCAATAGCCAAATGGGTATCAAAGTGTTGCTTTATTAATGGCTTTGAACTTATCTTGCTGGTGGTGGTGGTGGTGGTGTGCCGTGGAGTCGGTTCCTACTCACAGTGACCCAGTATAGGGTTTCTGAGGCTATAAATCTTTATGGGAGCAGAAAGCTTCATCTTTCTCCCATGGAATGGCTGGTAGTTTTGAACTGCTGACCTTGAGGTTAGCAACCAGACTCGTAACCACTACACTACCAGAGCTTATCTTAAAATTATCCAATTACAGATAATTTTTAGTAAAATGTGATGACTGACAAGGTCAATGTCTAGAAGGCTAAATGAGGCTATTCATCCCACTTTCCATGAATCAGAAACACTACAGGACTGTGGAACAGGCTCTTATTGAATCACATTTTAAAAAAAGGGCTGGGGGCTAGACTCAAGAGCTAAGTGCTGGGCTGGGCTTGTCCCTAAGATCCGTATTTTATTGAAATTAAAGCTTATTTTTTCCCTTGAAATCAGACTCATATTTATGACTGTGTACTTTCCCTTCTCAAAGGGATATAATTCCTCTTGTCTGTTTAGGTTATGGTCCCGTGGTAAACAATGCCCAAGTTTCAGTGATTTAAAATAACATAGGCTTAATTCTCACTCATACTACATATTTATCATATGTTGACTGGGGTACTTGGCTCTACTTGATCCTTGCTTATGGACCCATGCCAAGGGAAGTTCCATCTCCAGGCTTCCATTATTACAGAATTAGGGAAAATAAAACAAAGTTAGTACTGGCTCCTTGCTTCTATATGAATGTGACACACTTTTCTTCTTACATTTCATTGGCCAATTAAAGTCTCCTATCCAAGTCCTGGCGTGGTGCTGTGGGCCAATGTGTCAGACTGCAAAGTTCTTTGAACTGCAAGGTTGGGGGTTCAAGCTCACCAGCTGCTCCTTGGAAACCCTATACAGAGTTGCTATGGGTCAGAATCGACTTGATGGCACTTAACAACAACAACATCCAAATAAATTAAACAGGGCACCCCTACCATTTGATTATAAGGGAGGGAGGGACCAGAAATATTTGTGAAAACACCAAGGACTACTACAACAGGTATCTTGTTTCTTTATCATACCAAGCTCACAAAATAATATGTGACAGGGGTGATTATGCGCCTAGGTTATGTGAACTATACAGTATTCTGTTATAGTATAAGAGCATGAAAAAAATAAGCAAATTGATATCTTACTTAAATTCAACCTACTAAATGAGTTCAAAGAAGTCTTGGTGACTTGATACTTAGCATGTGATTGGTTTAGGTGGACAATTTGAACCCACCCAGTGATCCTGGTGTAGTGCTGTTAGATAAGCATTGGATTGGTAACCACAAGATTGGCAGTTCAAACCCAATAACCATTCTTGGAAACCCTATACAGGATTGCTATAAGTAAGAGTCTACTCAATGGCACACAACAACAACAACAGCAGTAGCTATGTGGGAAAAAGATCTTGTGATCTGTTCCCATTAAGACTGTTGTTGTTGTTAAGTGTGGTCAAGTCGCTTCTGACTCCTAGCAACTCTGTATAGGGTTTCTGAGGAGTGACTGGTGAGCTTAAACTGCCTACCTTGCAGTTCAAACCGACCTTACAGTTTGCAGTCCAGCGCATTAACCCACATATGTCTGCAGCAGGACCCATAAAGATTATAGCCTAGGAAACCCTGTTGAGTATGCTGTTATACAGGGTCACTCTAAGTAGAATTCCATTTGATTGCACCACACAACAAGTGAGTCCAGCCAACACCATTCCTCCTATATGAAAAAACAAAATAAATATTTACATGTTGGTAAAGAGCCAAAAGGTTGAATTTTTTGAGGAGAAAAAATGAGAGTGAAGAAGAAAAGAAAAAGGTGCATTTTTAAGGGGATGCTGTTGTTATTAAGTGCCACTGAGTTGGTATAGGGTTATTTTCACATGCTTATAGCAACCCTGTATTGGGTTTCAAAGAATGGCTGGTTGGTTTGAACTGCCCACCTTGTGGTTAACAGTCCCATGCTTATTCAACAGGATTCTATTGTATGTTGTTATTGTGGTTAGGTGCCACTGAGTAGATTCAAACTCATAACTACCTTATATACAATAGAAGGAAGCATTGCCCAGTCCTACACCATCCTCACAATTGTTATGCATGAATCCACTGCTGCTACTCTGTGCCAATTTATCTCATTGAGGATCTTCCTTTTTTTCACTGAACCTCCACTTTACTAAGCATGATGTTTTCTCGTGTCTAAAGTATGAGAGACAAAGTCTTGCCAAGCTGACGTCCAAGGAGCATTCTTTATTTGTTCTCCTGGCAGTCCATGGTACCTTTAATATTCTCTCCAATATCATAACTCAAATGCATCAATTCTTCTAGGGGCTTCCTTATTCATTGTCCAACTTGCACATTCATATCAGACAATGGAAAATACCATGACTTGGGTCAGGTGCACGTGAGTTCTCAAACTGACATCTTTGCTCTTGAGAACACTTTAAAGAAGTCTTGTACAGCAGATTTGCCTAATGGAGTACATTGTCTGAGTTTGTGACTGCTGCACCCATGAGTGGTAATAGTGGACCCAACCAAAATGCAGCCTGGGACAACTTCAATCTTTTGTCTAGTGGTGAGGATTTTTGTTTTCTTTACACTGAGGTGCAACCCATACTGAATGCTATGTTCTCTGATCTTCATCAGTAAGACTTTTAAGTCTGTTCATTTTCTGCAAGCAAGGTATAAGAACAACAACAAGAAAGCCCATACACCCAAACTCATTGCCATTGTTTATTCCAAATCCTAGCGACCCTGTATAGGACTTCCGAGGTTGTACATGTTTTGTTGTCACTGTTGTTAAGTGCTGCCAAGTCGGTTCCGAATCACAGTGACCCTATATAGGGTTTCTGAGGAGTGACTAGTGAGTTTGAACTGATGACCTTATGATTTATACCAACATTGCAGTCCAGTGCTTATCCTCCAGCATCACACATAGAGAGCCTCATCTTTCTCACTCAGTGTGGCTGGTGGATTTGAACTGTCGACCTTGTGGTTACTAGACAAGCCCTGGGGGGCTGTTTCTTCACATATAGATCTGTGCTCCAGGGTTATTTAAAAATATTGAATAAGAAAAACTTTTGTTTTGTTTCCTCCCCCCCTTAGGAAAATATAAACATTGATGAAGCCTCCAGATGTCTGGTGAAACACATCCTGGCAAATGAATGTGACCTGATGGAGTCCATTGAGCCGGATATCGTGAAACCTCATCTTGCCTCACCCAGAGTTGTCAGCTGCTCCAGTTGTGCCAAATCTTAGTGGGCTCTTTTCTTGGTATATGATGGAAATAACCCCATCACCACACATATTGTGCCTTAATTTGTTTTTACCATTTCAGGTAAATGTCAGGATAGGAATACATAGGTGGCATGCCAAAGATCTATGCCTGTATCTTTCATGTAAGAGAGAAATAGCAGATATTTTTGATGTTTTGTTTTTTTCCCCCTCACCATCAGCACAGTGTTTACAAGCTCTTTAAATATTTAATGTTACAGAATTCTGTCGTTTAGCTGAGTGCATTTTTGCAGGGCCAAGCCAATGGTATTATTTGCTTCTTTAAATTAAATCTCAGGTCTCTAAAAGAAGTGGGGAGAGCAGCAGATGAGCTGTCAAGTTAAGCCCTGGTTTTCACTGTGCCCCTAGAATCTTTGTCCGGATTGCCATACATTCTCTAATGGTTTGTCAGTGAAAATGTCATTTGTTCAAGAGATAACCTCTATTCTTGACAGCTCCAAGAGTTGTCTCTGATTTAGTTCTTCAGGGTCATGTACACAGGCTCCATGCTTTTGGTGTTTTTGTTTTGTTTTTTGTCACTTGTCATGCCCTGAATATTGGTCTATCTGAAAACTGTGTGGAAATACTTGCCCCCTATATGTGGCCTTCTGTCACCTTCTTCTAACTCAAGCTCTGGGATTCTTCTGTACTTGTAATATATATAATATATATTTCCACAAGTGAAAAATAAAACATTAAAAGATGCTGTTTCCCTATTTCTGAAAGTGATTGGAGTTTTTATTTTTATTTTTTTTAGCATTGTGAACTTCTTTTTTGACTGTGTAGCCAAGCTTCTCAGAGTACATTTCTAAAATGTTATTTCAAAAAGGACATGAGAAATGTACACTTGAAGAAGCTTCCGGGCACTATTAAAGCTGATATGAGTCTATTTCATCTGTACCTACTGTTCACATCAACTTTGTGACCAAGAAAGTAAGCAGCGTATGTACCCTTTTTGGTTAATCAGTAGAATATGTCTTCGTCTTCTATATTTTGATCAAGGAAGGTGCCAGACCAATCACCATAAAAAGAAAGGACTGACGCATATACATGGCCGGCTGATATACTGCATGTAGCTACTGTTTTTAAATGGCATTATTTTTCCTCATGAGGCATGCTCACTGCAGTCTGTCCGAGGTCCTCAGAGCAATTAAGCCACAGATTCTCACAGGGATAACCTTTCATTTAATTTGCCTTTTACAGGCTTCCTTTATTTCCTTTTCTCACTTCTTGTCTAAGTTTCCTAGTGCTGCAATAACTGAAATACGACAACTGGTATTTTAGGGAAGAGAAATTCTCACAGTTTAGGAAACTAGAAGTCGGTGGAAACTCGGGGAAGATCCCTGTGTTTGCTTCCGTAGCCCCAGGGTTTCTTAGTTCCTTGGTGATCTGTGTGTGTTTTGTCTCTTTGTCTGTATTGTTCCTTATAAAGCTTATAGCCAAAGGGTAAATGTGGGTGTGAACCCTTTCATATCACATTGAATGAAGCGCTAAAAGAGTGAGCTGCTTCTTGCTATAACTTCAGGCTCAACAGTATTAGTGGTATTGGTTCCCAAGGTGGGGAGGGAAAAATACCTCAACCAGGCACGTAATCGAGGTCCCCTAACCCTAAAACTTCAGCTGCCACCTAGTCATTTCTGGCTCCTTATGCTCATAGACCAGCAGTCAGAGAATGCAGTTACTATACAGTAAGGCGTAAATCATCCTGATAATCCTGAGAAGATAGGATTACTGCTGCAGAAGGGAGCAGCAAGGAGTATGTGTGGAACTCTTGGAATTCATAAGGATTTAAAGCTTCTGTGCCCAGTGATAACCCAGAACAATTACAGCAGCAATATCTTGACAAAGAAAAATAACTAGAGACTCAGAGTTTAAAGGATAAAAGTCTGGGTCATTACACCAAGCAGTGACTCTAGATTAGAAGTAGTTTGGTCACATTTTGGAAGGTGGCAAAGGAAGGAAATAATGAATATTAATTTGGCCTCAAGATTACCACCAGGAGACTGTCATTTGTTCCACCAATCTTCCTGTTGTAATTTCTCCCCATCCCAAGTCTCTCTCATTTTCCTTAAAGTTTCAGGATATGTTGCAGTGACAGTTACAATGAAATTAACGTGCGTGATGACTGAATCTGAATAATGCAAGGTATGAATGATAACAGACTATATCAGAGGTGATGCCCATATTTCTTGGGCATTTGTAACCCCTAAAAATGCAGAACCAATGGCTTCCTATTGCAACACCCTACAACATATCCTAATACTTTTCCTGGATGCACTGAGTGTATTTGTCTTGCTTACTGGCATGAGATGATAGATAAATACTTTAGTTTTCTGGCCCCTCAGGTGGAATAAATCTGATGCTTGGTCTCTGAACTCACTCAGCTGTCCCCACTGGCAACGTTTCTCACAGCGGTACTTTGTTCATTAGTAAACCTCTTTGATTTTCTTACATTCAATGATTCACTTCTCTACTCCCTTACCAGTGTTTCCAACAATCACTTCCCACATAAACTACTTATACTCAAATCCTCATTTCAAACTTTACTTCTGTGGGAACCCAATTAAGAGATTTTCGTATTTGATTAAGATGCAACTTCTAGTGGCTCTTAAAACATTACATCATCACCCAGGCAATCACTTTCACTAAGATGGAATCTGAAATCCACTGCTTTTCTTTCTGAAAAGCCCCTGAGATGTGGTATCTGAGATATTATAGTAAAATCATACGTGTCTTCTGCTCCTTTCCATAGCAGAAAATGATTAGCATACAGTATTCAAAATGCATACCTATTCAGTCGTTTATCCCTTCACCTACCCAATAAATATGTATTGAGTACCTACTATATTTAAGGCGCTCTGGTAGTGGAGTGGTTATGAATAGGGTGAGTAATCACAAGGTCAGCGGTTTGAAACCACCAGCAGTTCCATGGAAGAAAGATGAGTCTTTCTGTTCCTGTAAAGATTTACAGCCTCGAAAACTGGGTCATTATGAGTCGGAACCGACTCCATAGCACACTACCACCACTTACTATATTTATAACAATCAACTAGGTACTGATGAGACATAAATGACTGTCTTGATTCCAGACCACAAGATAAATATGGTCAGGTAGAGGACTCCAGCATGTCAGCAAAGCACCATGCTTTAAGAGCAAAAGCAGACATCCAGTCATTGGTTTCTAAATGAAGGGAGTGCAGCTCTAATTGTGTTTAAGGAAATGGAATTTATGTTTTCCCCTATCCACTCTCTGGAGTTCTAATGGGGCGCTGCAATGCCTCAAACAGCAAGTAATCTAAAAATGTGCTTATTATGATACTCTTCTGTCTGCTTAAGTAATTATTGAATGGAAGCAAGTTTGTCAGATAAAAATGGAAATGTTAAAAAAAAAAAAGAGAGAGAGACAGGATGAATCTATAGAGACAGAAGGTAGATTAGTAGTTGCATAGAGCTGGGGTATATGTGGAGGCATTAAAGAACTTTAGCAATGTGTACAGGATTTCTTTTTGGAGTAATGAAAATGTTCTAAAATCTATAGTGATGATGGTTGTACAGCTTTGTGAATATACTAAATCAATTGAATTATATACGCTAAATGGATTAGTGTACTTTAAATGGATAAGGTATTGTAATTTTGAGCCCTGGTGTGGTGCTGTACGGTAAACGCTGTCCTGGTAACAAAAAGGTCAGTGATTCAGTTCCACCAACCACTCTTGGAAATCCTGTGTTACCAGCCTTGGATATGCTCTAAAGCAGTTCTACTCTGCACTGTAGGATTGTTATGAGTTGGAATCAAGTCAACAGCAATTTGTACAGCTGTTACATGTCATAAGAAAAAAAAATGAGTGACAGAAAAAGTTATTGTCTCCCCAGTGAAATTAGTTTAGCTTCCTTGTGACGTATAATCCTGGTGTTATTCCTTAGGAAAGAATCTGAGGTGAGTTTTTACCATTACCTCATCTGCTTGGGTTGTCTGGGAAAAGTTTAGTCATCACCTCTGAATTCAGAATTTACTCTCAGATATTTAGAACTAACATTATGCATGTGTTTAAATTCAATTCAGTTATATCTTAGCTGTTTCTATTTTAAAATACCCATGATTTTCTGGACTCTCTGGTAGCAGTTCCATGGGAGGAAGATGAGGCTTTCTGCTGCCATAAAGATTTACAGCCTCAGAAACCCTACACAGGGTTGCTATGAATCGAAACCGACTCCATGGCACATAACGAACAAACAAAAATATGAGTCTCCAGGTAATTCCCAGCATTAGCATGCTGGTGTGGTGCTGTAGGATAAGCACAGGACTGCTAACTGCAAAGTTAGCAGTTCAAACCCATCAACTGCTCCTTGGAAACCTTACATAGCATTGCTATGTTCAGAATAGACTGGAAGGCACTTAACAACAAGAGAGACAAGAGCATGAAAGAACACTTCCTAAAAAAAATAAGAAATTTGGTGGGCTAAATAAAAGTATCCAAAATCCAGCAAAATGAACAGCATCGTCAATCAGAAGCAGTGCCAGTCTGTCCCCACCACTGTGAGATTGACACAACCATTTCCTACACAGTTTGCACACCAGAAAAGAGCTGTGGGAAGAGGACTCAGGCACAAGTCATTTGATCCTAGGTATTGACAAGACAGAGAGCAGACGTTCTTCAGTCCACACAGTAACTCTCTGTATAACAGCAGAGCAAACAAATAGGAGGCAAAGGCCAGAAAGTGAATAGTGATGCAAGTAAACCTCCTGAAACATTGACAGACCTTCCTGGTGTTTGTCAGGAAACAGTGGAAGAAAAGCCACCCTCTGCACCCACCATTACCACCAAACCTGTTAGAACTGGACTGATCAAGCCTCAGGTGATCAAAACTGAAGAAACAAGATCTTAAAGGCTATGGTTTTATTGCAGGGGTGGGAGATGGATGGGGAGAATGAAGTCAGATAATGCCAGCAACCAAAGGGATAAAATGGTCTGTGACATTATCCTGTCCAGAACTTGGAGATGCACAGGGGATAGATGAGCAATTTGCGTTGACACACAACTGTTGCACCAGTAACAATGG